GGTTCAGAAGAGGTCATCGTGGGGGGCGGAGTCATGTGTCCCATCTAATATGGCAATTAGGCCTTTTGTCACTTCATTTAACCGTTTTTAAGTGTAGTTTCGGTCATTATTGATCTAATTTTGCATTTTTGTGTTCCATTTGTAGGTACCGTCAAGGATCTCAAGTCCATTTTAGAGGGCGGAGTTGACGCCTTGTCTTCAAATTTACATGAATGAACATTAAAGGTAAAGCACACATGATATTGAGATAATTTTACAAATATTTAATGGACTTGTATGTGCCTCAGGTTTAGAAGAGGTCATTGTGGGGGGCGGAGTCATGTGTCCCATCTAATATGGCATTTTGGCCTTTTGTCACTTCATTTAACCGTTTTTAAGTGTAGTTTCGGTCATTATTGATCTAATTTTGCATTTTTGTGTTCCATTTGTAGGTACCGTCAAGGATCTCAAGTCCATTTTAGAGGGCGGAGTTGACGCCTTGTCTTCAAATTTACATGAATGAACATTAAAGGTAAAGCACACATGATATTGAGATAATTTTATAAATATTTAATGGACTTGTATGTGCCTCAGGTTTAGAAGAGGTCATCGTGGGGGGCAGAGTCATGCATCCCATCTAATATGGCGTTTTGGCCTTTTGTCACTTCATTTAACCGTTTTTAAGAGTAGTTTCGGTCATTATTGATCTAATTTTGCATTCTTGTGTTCCATTTGTAGGTACCGTCAAGGATCTCAAGTCCATTTTAGAGGGCGGAGTTGACGCCTTGTCTTCAAATTTACATGAATGAACATTAAAGGTAAAGCACACATGATATTGAGATAATTTTACAAATATTTAATGGACTTGTATGTGCCTCAGGTTTAGAAGAGGTCATCATGGGGGGCGGAGTCTTGCATCCCATTTAATATGGCGTTTTGGCCTTTTGTCACTTCATTTAACCGTTTTTAAGAGTAGTTTCGGTCATTATTGATCTAATTTTGCATTTTTGTGTTCCATTTGTAGGTACCGTCAAGGATCTCAAGTCCATTTTAGAGGGCGGAGTTGACGCCTTGTCTTCAAATTTACATGAATGAACATTAAAGGTAAAGCACACATGATATTGAGATAACTTTACAAATATGTAATGGACTTGTATGTGCCGCTCG